AAACAAGACCCTGATCCTTCTCCTCACCAGGTGATCTACTGCTACCAAATCAAGATTCCAATAATAGTCAACTTAACTCGCTGTAAAAAAATTGTAACCATAAGGAATTTAAGGTAGCTTAAGAGTATAGCAAAGAAATCAGCCTATCTCATAATACAATTCACACGATTGGAAGACCCCATCAATAGATGCACAAAAGAACTGGTGAAACAGCAACGGGAGAGAGAGAGAGAGAGACAGAGAGAGACGCAGAGAGGTTACCTTGGACTTCTAGCCTGATCAACCTCCTCATCTTCATTGTCAGGATAATTGTTTTCCTCAGACCTCTCTGATCCACTTTCAATTATTTCCCGCCTCCGGCTTGTCACCACTCTTTGATGATATTCTTCTTTCTCATCACTGTCTGTGTCTCTTGCTTCACTTTCTTCCCTATGATCCTCAATATCTACTTCTTGGGAACTTTGTTCCCTTTCACCCTCACTTTCTCCAGGATCAGGTTCTACATGTAGTTCACCTTCACTCTCCACTTCAGCCTCCCCGTGCCCCTCCACTTCACCTTCACCCTCAGGCTCCAACCCTCCCTCCGCTTCATCCTGAATAGGGATGTATGAGAAAAAAATTATTATTTATTCAAACACTATGTTTTGTAGGACTACAGCTCCTTTTGATTTGGCAGAGAGGTCTTAGCTTGATATATGCAATTGAAAAGTTTCAGTTGTCCCAAACATTTACACCAAACAAATCAAGAAGTATAACAAATATTAGACTTCAGTTGAGAGATAAAGATATAAAATTCAATTTCGGTTTGCAAATATAACGGAAAAAACTTTTGACACCCGTAGAACCATTAATTTTTTTCAATTAAACATGACCGAGTCTTGCAATAAGACTTTTTTCTCGTTGACAAAAATGTTGCTTGGGTAATTGATGCATGATAAATGGAAACATCAAAACTATTCCAAAAAAAAAAAAAAAAAAGTTGATAGAGTAACCCCATTCCAAGCTACACTTTTTAGTGCTCACATTACCAAATCTTTCGTTTAGCAAAAACAAAAGAGCCCTAATTACGTTCTCTTCCTTCAGCAATTCCAAGGACGTAGAAAACAAACATCATAATGTTGTATTACAAACTTATGTACCAAACAAAGATATTATCAAACAAAATACATGAATATGAAACAGATGCACCAAACTAAATTCTTCGAGCACACATCCGATTCCCAATCACAGTGTTCTCACAGCAAGAGCAAAACCTAGCAACTGCGTCAACAAATTTGACCTAGATACATGCGACGAACCGAACGCGTATAAAGGAAAAAAAAAAGAAAAAAAAAACGAGAAAAAGAAATTACCGAAGCGTAATTGGGCTGGGGATTGGATTCATGCTCAGAATCGATCTCTTCTTCTTCTTCTTCGGATTGATCGCCAAACAGGTTCTGCATCATCTGGTGCCTCTTCTCTTCCCCCATCTCCTTTCTCGATCGCTCCCTCACTCTTCGGATTTTTGGATGACCGTTAAGCTTTTGGGAAAAGGCTTGTCAGGACCCCGTACCGCTGTCTTCTGCTCTCTCTCTTTCTATCACGCACTCGCTGTCAGGGAGAGGACTGTGGCGGAGCTCTTTTTATTATATTAAGCGAGGATAGGTTGATGGTAAATGATGGATGATTGAGCCCTGAAATCTTTGCCACGTCTTCCGTTTTTTTTCCCAGGGGGAAAGTAAAGCAGGCTTTGTGGAACCCACCCTGGTGGTTGCGGGCCGAAGATACTACTTTAAGCGGCCCCACCTATTTAAAGTTTTTCTTATTTTACCAAATATTTTATTAATTTGCTTTCTTTCATTAAATTAACTAAAGAACCTAAAATTCAAAATTCGAATTCAGACTCAATCGCATTACTATAATTTTCATTATATAGCTTTACATATTCACCTTACTTTCTTTATCAAACTTACTATATTGATGTTATTCTTTATTTTCCTAATTTATTTCACCTATTTAAAAATAATGTCAGCTTACTTAATATAAATTATAGATAAATAAATAAATAAATGTGACTATATATATATAGAAATATTGATCTGTTTGTATGAACAGTTACTTTCATATTGATATTAATTCACATCTCACTCCTAGCACATATTCGCATAAGAAAAATTCTTCATCTTTCGAAAACTGATAAGTCTTGATCTATCTAACAAACGATCTTTGGAATAAAGTGTTTGTGAAGTAGCTTTATCCATGAGGCAAAAAGTCAAAACTACTGAATTGATAGTTTTTTATGGCTAAATAATTTTCTTCCGTTTATACCCTCACAATATTTTGTTAATTCCAATTTTACCGTTAAACCCCAATTTTGTTTTTCTTCATAGCCTGACTTGCTTCTTCTTTCTTCACTGCAGCTTCTATCGTCCTCTTCATCTGTTTTTGCTTCTTCTACTTCCATATTCTGCTTCTACTTGTTGCGATCGTCTACGTCGGTGTTAACTTGCTTCACCTCTCCTTCTTTCAATCAAGGTAAGCACTGATTATGGAGTTTGTATTTTATGTTGTCTCTTTTTGAATCCCGAAATGAATATATGTCTCTCCTCCATTATTCTTATTTAGACTTTCTTTGTCCCGATGAGAATTGGGGGAATGAAAGATTTAACCACCCACTAGGAAGTTCTTAGGATATAACGCACAAGGAGAGAAGTCTTTTAGGAAAAAAAAATAATAATAAAGGTACGGGAAAGACTTCGATTGTTTACAGAGAAGCGAAGATAACCCGAAGCAACTGGAAAAACATAGCCAACTTTGACCTAGAAACTGAGGTACGTTTATCAATTTATCTGTCCTTCGTCATGGTTTTTAATTTCTTCTTAGATCCACTTCCATCTATTCTCATTCTTCGGGTACGAAAAATCTTTTATCATATTCAAGGATTTTTCTCTCTAATTATCTCAAGTTAGATTCAACATTTTCGTTAGTTGCTGCTGCCTTTTCTGTTTCTATATTGCATGAGACTGCACTCATATAAACATATATATAGATATATTTTCTGCGTGTGTGTGTATATGTTTGTATTTATGTGTTTTTAGTCATCATTTAGTAACTTATGGTATTGTGGATGTGTTAAAAATAGAAGTTAAAATTTTAATTTTCCAGTTTTGTGGATGCATTAAGAGAACAAATTGAATGAAGAATATCATAAAACTTCACTCACAAACCAAAGTACGGGGAAAAGAATGAAAAAGAGGACAAGTGTACATGGTCATAACGTTGCTTTAGTTTGGTGCATATGTACCGTGCTTAGTGTTTTTATATATGTTGGTTGATTTTTTTTACTAATTTATTATGTTTTTGTATTTGAGTTGCATCTCCTTGGTCGTTATATATATTATACTAATTTTTCTTTTCAAGAAAAAGAAAAATAATTTAAAAGAACTTAGGACTTAGAACCCCCCAGTGGAACTTATCTTTCATTGTTGTTGTACATTCTGTATATACTGTAGGGGTTGGATACTGCCATTTTGAGCACATGAAGCAGTATGTGCTCTGTCCTTCATAGAACTCATGAGTTCTGAGGTGCCAATGAATTTATGGCTGATGATGTGTAGAGAGGTATTGCCATTATAGCAATGTCAAATAGAGTTTTTTTATTTTTCTTTTACCCATTGGCTAGAGCTTCAATGATCTACATGGGAGAAATTATGGATGGAATCTACTGAATACCCTGGAATAATAGGTGCTCTATTTAGAGAAAAATTGATGAACCATGCTACTCATAGTCATGGTCTTGACAAACCGAGTTATAACTTTGTAAAAGTCCTCTGTTAT